TAAGAAAAGCGGGGGGGAGGGACATTAGGAGAAGCTAAGAGGGGAGTCCTGGAAGGGGGTTGAGGGAAGGGCTGTGGCTTGTTTTTAAACCCTCCGTTTTGCTAATGAGTCCATCCTCTTTTCTGGCCAGTTGGTTCCCAAATGAGTGTTATAAATCAGGGCTGATTTTTTTTTTTTTAGATGTTGCCACTATATAAGCTGTTGGGACTCTGGAGAAGTGATGAGAGGGATACCCCTTAGCCCAAGCCTCCCCCCCCAACCCAATGGACTTGCAGGTGATGGTTAATTCAGGCCAGTTGTCCATGGGAGACCTGGCCAAAGGGTTTGCGGGGGTCCCAGGCCCGCCCAGTGGATGGTGAATATTCAGCACTGCAGGGCCCTGAAAGAACGGGGCCCAAGGCATTTGCCTTGCTTGCTTTGCCCTAGGGCCAGGCCTGGTCCAGTGCCTCTTCAGCATTTGGTCTGTGGGCATGGCACTGCTCTAGCCCAGTTGAACCTGCAGTACTGTGGGCTGCTCTGGCCAGGCTGGACCCACATGGGCAAGAGGTTGCTCAGGCTTGGCCCACTGTGCTGCAGGCGGATAGGGAGCTGCTCCATGTCGGCCGAGCTGTAGTGCCTCTACCCCATGTCTGCTCCAACCCGGCCTTAACCTGTAACTGGTAAGCATCACGTGGTAAGGATGATGCTTAGCAGGTTAACCAGGACATCCTTACTTTGAAATTTACTGTAAATCCCCCTGCCTGCTCCAGGCCTCTTTTCCCCTTCCATCTTATGAATAGTGCTGTGCTCCCTCTGCCTCCAACTCCCATACATTGGCATTGATTGTGTAAGGAATGCTGTTGAGCTGATCCTGTCAACATGGGTAAAGTCTTATTCTTTTGCTTACTTTGGCTCTCTGAAAACACAACTTCCTGTTCATCTTTTGCCAAGGCATAAAATTATGACACCTGTAGCAGAGGTTCTTTGTGACTGGCTTTTGCCATGTACATGTGCTCCCAGACTCTATATTATTGTAAAATTGGTCAGATCAAGATGAAGATATAAGCACTAGTTCAGATAATAAACCAAAATACCAAGTATGGTGGCCTGGGAAACAAATATATAAAATACCTTGTCAAAATTGTAATGCCAGGCAAATAAATTGTAATCTTATTTATTGTATCTTTGTTTTATGAGTTTCTGTAGATGGACCAAAAGCTGTCTCAGTTGGTCGAGGACCTCACCACCTCAGGAGAGCCTCAACTGAGTCCAGAGAAAATGAAAGAGCTAAAGAAAATCTGCAAGTACGAAGCTTGGTTAAATTCTTTAGTTGAGGAACATACTGGCATAGGTAATAGTGTAAAATGATAAAATGCTAGGGGAGATCACAATGTCATGTTAGTTGGGCCTCTTCCAGAATCTCTTTTATTTTAAGCAACACTTTGGAATTGGTTGTTGCCTTGAAAGTTTAGGGAAACTAGTAGGCTAATGGGTGATGGTGGGTTTCCTCCAAAACTTATTAAAAGACTCTCATTGAGGTTTTGTTGGGATTTTTTATGTTTGTTTGGTTTTTTTTGAGGGCAGGGTGCACTTTTTTGTTAAACAGTATTTTTAATCTAACGACAAAAATTCACTTTCTGGTGGTTGCACTTGTGTTGATGTTTGTTCCTTTTCAAAAGGTCTTCAGACGAACATATTAGCCATGTATATCATCTACTGATGACACAGCTGAATCAAGAACATGCAGAGATACGTTTTTCAGCTTTTCAAATCGTGGACGAGCTCTTCACCCGGTCACATCAGTTTAGAACATTAATTATTTCAAATTTTCAAGAATTCTTGGAGCTCACGATGGAAACAGACTGTGCACAGCCTCTTCCTCCACCAAAAGAAGTAGCACAGAAACTGAAAAAAGCAGCCATTAAATCTGTACAAAAGTGGCATGAGAAATATGGGGAGGCCTACAAAAAACTCTCCCTAGGATATCATTTTTTAAAACAGAATAAGAAGGTATTTTTGCCAGTTTGTTTACTTCTCCATGTTGGCTTCTAGCATCTGGCTTAGAAAGATAAGGCAAACTTCTGGAAGATGTTGACTTCTCCACTGTAAGCTATTATAAAAGGTTATATGCTGGAAACAGAGTTGAGCTCTTTTTCTCTCTTTTGACAAATATGTTGAATACAGGTTTTTCTTGCACACTTCTTTGTTGAACTTTAGATACTTAGGATGCAAGGGGAAAAAACCCTGTTCTTTCCATACTGCTTAGAACTTTATTTTTTTTAAATGCAGTAATGCATCTGAAATTTCAGTGTTGTAATTAAGGGTTCTGACCTTGATTGGAAAAGGAATTGTGGGTGAGGGTGGAGTGTTGCAAGGGTATTGTATTGTGGGGAGGTTGCGATACTGCTATCCTTACTTCTGCACTGCTGCTGGTGGTAGTGCCACCTGAGATCTGGGCAGCTGGAGAGTGGTGGCTGCTGGCCAGGGTCTAGCTCTGAAGGCAGAGTCGCTGCCAGTAACAGTGCAAACTAAGGATGGCATGGTATGGTATTGCCACTCCTACTGTGCTGTACTATGCTGTGCTGTACTGCACGGTAGGAGTAAAATAAAAAAATAAGATTTTGAGAACAATCTACCAAATCCAGGAAATTTAATGTAAACCCCAAAATTCAGTGATCTAACTCATTGCATGTTACAGAGGATATGTTTGGTTCCTTGACTGATCATTTTGCTTGCTTGCAAAATTCTTGGGGAAAATATTAAGTGTGCGCAAGTAGTAGTTTTGGCTTTTACTCTGAAATTCTTGAGTGATACACTTAAACCTCTGTATTCAGGTGTCCCTAATCTGGGAACACCTGTGGTATGGATGAGGAAGTGACTCTGTGCTGCTGCTGCTGCACCCCCTACCCCTGAGCTGAGGTGACATGCTTCGCCTGCAGCTATGGGAATGATGGGGTGTGCAGAGCGACGTATGTCCCCAGGAGCAGGGTGCCAGGTAAGTGCCCTGCCCCTGTACTCCTCATGTCTGGATCCTGCAGCACCCTCCTTGGCCTGGCAAAATCTTTCATTTGGCATACCCTATTTCCCAGGGTTTCCTGAATAAAACAGGTTCAAGTTTATAGGTCAACCTAGCAACCTACTCTTGTATATTATTTATCTAGTCCATATGTGGATTTCTCCCCCCTCCCCATTATTGTAAGTGAGAGTCTCCCAAAATTATAAAGTGTACATCAAAATAGATTACTCTCTTTGGCCTCAGACAGAAGAGAGAATGTTTAGGGTTCTGCTTCCTATGATTTCATTTTCCCTTCCTAATGCCATTGATTCTCAACAATCATTAATAAATAAAAAGTTACCATAGTTATTATTTCTGGGAGAAGGGGCAGTAAAAGGAAGTACTATGGAGATTCTTGGTGATCACTGGCATTAGAGGATATTTCATCAAAGATAAGAGTCTTGGGAATTTTTCTATATTTCTTATGATGAAGAAAATCATTACATTCATTTCCTCCTCCTCAGGTGGATTTTCAAGATGTAAATGCCAGAACTCTGTCTGAAAGAAGAAGAGTGGAGGAGAAGCAGAAACGATTAGATAACATTTACAAAGAGAAAGCCAAAAGAGCTGAAAAAGAAATGGAAGGTGAGATATTTTGAAAACTTTAAAGTATATTAAGGAATTGTGCTATATGAAATACAGCCTGCTAGAAAGCAGCTGTCCAAGTGGTAAGGAGCTGTAGAGGCAGATGAGGACAGTAGTGCATATGTAGGCATAATAAAGGTTAAAAAGAGCAAGTGGTATAGTATCAAGTGCTCAGATAAAGTGCAGGTTTTACAAAGGCAGTTAATTAAGTGTCTTTGCCCAGATTCAATGAAGTATGTAGGCATATGTGTAAATTTAAGACCTGTTGA